GGGTGTGTGTGTGTGTGTGTGTGTGTGTGTGTGGGTTGGAGAAAGCCGTGTTATTGTAGTCAGGGATGACAAGGCCCATTAGCCCACCTGTTGCTGTTCTTTGTATCTATTCCAGCCCTGCACAGGGGCCCCAATCAAGATTCCCCTATGCTAGGAGCTGTACAGACAGTAAAAGTGGGCGGGCCCTGCCCTTAGTAGCTCTCAGCCCCAGGGCAGGACTGCTGCTTGCCGAACGCGCTGCAGAATGCACGGCTGTCTGGGCTGCAGCGTGGCTGGTGTACGGCGCGGAACCAGTGGGACAGGCCCAGACATGGAGCCTTGTCTACACCAGGGCAGCACCAGGGCAAGCTTTTCCCTGCCGATATGCCACTAAGTCCCGCAGAGGGGACATTTGAGGGGGTGAGGTGGGGTTAGCCCATTCTATCCTTGCTGCCACTGCTGGGGCTGCTGGCTCGGGGCCAGAGAGTGGCAGCTGCAGCGGGGGGTTTGTGCTGCAGATGTCTGATCTCCTCAGGAACTGGGCTGAGTCCGGCCAAACTCATTGCATGCAAGCCACCTGATTGTGACAGCTCTCAGCGCTTCCTCTGTCCTCCCACCCCCACCCTGGCTTGGCCTGCAGGGGACGTGCCTTATTCCCAGAATCCAGCCAGGTCTCTACCCAGCCCATCACAGGCCTGGAAGCTCCCCTCTGCCCTGGACACACCATCTTCCCTGCCTCCCCAGGAGCTGAGAGGGTTTATCAGAGTTGGATATAATGCAGGACACCCTGTTTTCCATTGAGAGGGGGATTTCATTGCTCTGCCTGCTGCGGGTTCCTGCTGCGTCTCTCCTTGGTGGGAGCCGTGTTCCTCTGGAGGCCGTGCAGATGAGTGGTTAGAGCAGAGGGCCTGGGAGTCAGATCTTCAGGGTTCCACTGTCCCAGCTCTGGAAGGGAAGTGGGGTCTAGTGGTTAAAGCAAGGGAGGGCTGGGTACTGTTTCCAGCCCTTCCACTGACTCATTTTAGTTTTCTTTGCTGTGTAAACAAACTCCTTGACACCTCGGAGCAAGTCATGTCCCAGCTCTGTGCCTCAGTTCCCGCCCCCCAATGAAAAAGGCCAGCACTGCAGGGGTCTTGGGAGGATGCAGGCGTACAGAGTGCTATGATATCAACAGGAAGAAGGGGCTAGCACAGGGATTACCAGGAGGGTCTGGGGCTTGCGACCCCTGTCCCGCACGTCAGCAAGGGGGAGGTGTGCACAGGTGCCGGATTACCCTCATGTCTGCAAGGTGGGTTTGAGACCCGCCATCCCAGATTTCCCCGCCCCAGTCCCGACTGCGCCACTCGCTGTGAGAATCAGGTAGACAGCCAGGCGGGCACAGACATTAATATCCTGCTTGGAGGCGCTAGGACAAAGTGCCAGGTTGGAGCGGTTGCTGCGGGGGGAGGCTGCACTGGAGAGGGAGGGCTGTCGGGAGTGGGGCTGCAATCTGGGTTGGGGGGGCCCCTTGGGCTGATCCTATTTTAATCTCCCCAGCCCCGATTTGCCAGGCCCCAACCCTGCTCTCAGTTAAATCGGGAGTGACTCCAGTGCGCTTCTGATCCACCCAGAAGGATGTCACTGGAATCAGTGGCACCCGGGCCAGACTCTGATCTCAGTTCTGGTGTAAATCCAGAGCGACTCCACTAGAGTCAACGGCGTGGCCCCTTACGCCAGTGGTGTGACTCCGGATTCACAACCGTTGCCGCTCAGCGTAGAATTTGCTCCGGAACTCTGGCGTTTGCTGCTTTCCACTGAAGCCCCGGTCAATGGCAGGAGACCGGCGATCCCCACGGTGGTCCCTGTCTGCCCAAAACGTGGGCTCAGCCTCTGAGGCCGCCTTGGACTTTTGGTTCCACTGGGAGTTAAATCAACCATGAAACTGTCTCTGCTTATCTCCTGGGCGGGGCGCAAGGCCCCGTGACTCTGACACTGTGGGACTGGAGGGGGCTGAGTTTGTTGGTAGCAGTCAACTTGTTTTCCATTGACAAGTAGAATGGCCCACAGCTCTGGTCGGGGCAGAGAAACCAGGGTAATTATAGAGCCTGATGGGCCAGCGGTCGGGGCGAGACCCTAGCCTGGCCTCCCCGCAATGCTGCAGACTCCCTGGGTGAGCTTGGGCAAGTTACATGGCCTCGCCGTGCCTCGTTTTCCCCATCTGTACAATGGGGATAAGAGCCCTGCCCTGGCTCACCGGGAGCGGGGGGCTGTAAGGATAAGTATGGTAAAGACTGGGAGGTGCCCACACTCTAGGCTGATGGAGCTTGGCACAATCATTCAGTCCCCCCTGGCCTGCAGTATCTGAGCCCCTGGCAGGAAGCCCAGAGAGAGAAATGGCTGAGTTTTCAGCAAGGCTCAGTACCCACAGCCGGGGACAGCTTTTGGGCCCCCCACTACAAGAAGGATGTGGAAAAATTGAAAAGAGTCCAGCGGAGGGCAACAAAAATGATTAGGGGGCTGGAGCACATGACTTATGAGGAGAGGCTGAGGGAACTGGGATTGTTTAGTCTGCAGAAGAGAAGAATGAGGGGGGATTTGATAGCTGCTTTCAACTACCTGAAAGGGGGGTTCCAAAGAGGATGGATCTAGACTGTTCTCAGTGGTAGCCAATGACAGAACAAGGAGTAATGGTCTCAAGTTGCAGTGGGGGAGGTTTAGGATGGATATTAGGAAAAACTTTTTCACTAGGAGGGTGGTGAAGCACTGGAATGGGTTACCGAGGGAGGTGGTGAAATCTCCTTCCTTAGAGGTTTTTAAGGTCAGGCTTGACAAAGCCCTGGCTGGGATGATTTAGTTGGGAATTGGTCCTGCTTTGAGCAGGGGGTTGGACTAGATGACCTCCTGAGGTCCCTTCCAACCCTGCTATTCTATGATTCTAAGACAGTTAAGTCCAAAGCAGACTGGGAGAGTTACAAAGGATCTTACAAAACTGGGTGATTGGGCAACAAAATGGCAGATGAAATTCAGTATTGATAAATGCAAAGTAATGCACATTGGAAAACATAATCCCAACGCTACATACAAAATGATGGGGTCTAAATTAGCTGTTACCACTCAAAAAAGAGATCTTGGAGTCATTGTGGATAGTTCTCTGAAAACATCCACTTCAAGGTGCAGTGGCAGTCCAAAAAGCTAACAGAAAGTTGGGAATCATTAAGAAAGGGATAGATAATAAGACAGAAAATATCATATTGCCTCTCTGTAAATCCCTGGTATGCCCACATCTTCAATACTGTGTGCAGATGTGGTTGCCCCATCTCAAAAAAGATATATTGGAAAAGGTTCAGAAAAGGGCAACAAAAAAATTATTAGGGGTATGGAATGGCTTCCATATGAGGCTAGATTAATAAGACTGGGACTTTTCAGCTTGGAAAAGTGACGACTAAGGGGAGATATGATTGAGGTCTATAAAATCATGACTGGTGAGGAGAAAGTAAATAAGGAAGTGTTATTTATTCCTTCTCATAACACAAGAACTAGGGGTCACCCAATGAAATTAATAGGCAGCAGGTTTAAAACAAACAAAAGGAAGTATTTCTTCACACAACGCACAGTCAACCTGTGGAACTCTTTGCCAGAGGATGTTGTGAAGGCCAAGACTATAACAGGGTTCAAAAAAGAACTAGATAAGTTCATGGAGGATAGGTCCACCAATGGCTATTAGCTAGGATGGCCAGGTATGGTGTCCCTAGTCTCTGTTTGCCAGAAGCTGGGAATGGGATCACTGGATGATTACCTATTCTGTTCATTCCCTCTGGGGCACCCGGCACTGCCCCCTGTTGGAAGACAGGATACTGGGCTAGATGGACCATTGGTCTGACCCAGTATGGCTGTTCTTATGTTCTTTATCTCCTGGTTCTTCAGGTGCCCCCTGCTCACATTTTCAAGTTACCCGTGGTAACCAGGAGAGCTAGAAACTTACAGGGATGTTTGTTTTAAATGAAAGCTAAGATTCTCCTCTAGTCACATGAATCCAGGAGCTGGGCCTTTGAAGGAGAACATCCGCTACTGCGATAGCAGCTGCAGTAGGGTGGAGAGCAAAAGTCGGGATGTTCTCAGTTGTGAAATAAGGATTAAAAATGCACAGCAGAAGGGTGGTGACTGGGGAAACGTGCTATGTAAGTTCCATAGGGCAGAGCCTGTCTTTCATTTCAAGGCGCCCGAGGAGGGTCCCCCAGACTCTCTAGTATCCATGTCCGTCGCTTACTGTGCTCTGATGGGCCCCCTGACATCGCTCTGTCTTTTCCGCTTGTCCCTTTCAGTTCCTTCCTCCGTCAGCCCCTTGCTCTGTAGCTCTCGGGCCTGTATAGTAGCAGCCCCGGCGAGTCCAGGCCCCATGGCACCGGGGGCTGTACAAACAGAGTGGGAGGCTGCCCCTGCCCCGGAGAGCTTGCAATCAAAACAGACAAGAACGCGTATTATCCCCTTTGTGCATACTGAGGCTCAGAGAGACGAAGGCCCAGATCCTCAAAGGGAATTAGGCACCTAACTCCCATGGACACCAATGGGAGTTAGGCCCTAATTCCCTTTGTGGATCTGGCCCGAAGAGACTTGCCCAGGGGCATGCAGGAGTCGGTGGCAGAGCTGGGAAATGATCCTAGATCTCCCGAATGTCAGCCTAGTGGTTTATCCCCTTTCTTTGCCCCTTCCCTTCCAACCCCCCCCCCCCGGGAAAATCCCAACCCCCATCCCCAGGCAGATGCACTGTACTGAGCCAATCCAAAGGAGAGGACATGGGGCTGGTATGGGCCTTGCCAGCCTCGCTGTCACATTAGGGCTTGGCTCCGTCCAAGCCCCCCATCTTCCAGCCTGGGAAGTTGGGTTCACGTGGGGCTGAGGGAGGAGCCCGGCACCCCCTCGCTACTGTCCCTTTGTCCCAGGAGCCCTTTAAAGTAGGGGGAGGATTGGGGGGATCCGTCATGTTGGGGGGCAGGGATCCGAGGCGCCCGTGACCCTTCCCCTCTGCTTTCTCTCTCCTGCAGGATGCGCGTTCCTGACCTACTGCGCCCGGGAATCGGCCCTCAAGGCGCAGAGCGCGTTGCATGAGCAGAAAACGCTCCCAGGGGTGAGTCCTTGCAGGGCGATAAAGGAGGGCGGGGGGGGAGGGAGTCGGACAGGGGAGTCTCTCTGTTATCTCTGGCTACAGCTGCCCAAACGTCAGCGTGAACCTCCAGCGCCGGTTTTATTGTGTGTGTCATGTCCCACCCCCACCCCCAGTTCGTTAGCATTTGCGATAACCAGATGGCCCTCTCCATAAAATCTCCTCGGTGAGCTCCCAGCACGCGCCTGATACGGGTTTGATTGGAGTCTGGGTTGGCAGTTTGGGCCCTGTCACTGGCGTGGGGAGAGGGGAGGAGTTGATTTCCCATGGGGGCACCAGCTCTGCCTGGCTCAGGCGAGGGGGGTGGAGGGAAGGGACCATGGGAGGAGAGGGGGGTGACACCCTCCAGCCCACGGGCGTTGGTCGCCTGCCAGTGTCGTCGGAGCTCTGATCATGCCACCGCCTCTCCCCCGTATTGCCCTCCACCCAAGGTGACTCACTCCCAGCTCCTGAATCTTGACGGAAAGGCAGTTTGGGGCCAGCTCTCTTGCTTTCTTCAAAGGGCTGCGCATCGCCGGCTGCGAGTTTCAGGGTGCCGGCCGATGGGTGCTGTCATGGTGCCAGGTGGACGTCTGTGCCCTGGGGCTCTGCCAGTTGGTTTGAATGGGCTTTGGAGCATTTTGGGTGCCGGGTTGGCAGACATGGAGAGCAAAGGCCTGTGTGTGGTCCCAGGCAAAGAAGTAGTCCAGGGACCCCCACTTCTAGGGGACAGAGCCTGGTGCTGAGGCCCAACAAACTTATTTCACTCAGGGGCCACCAAACCGCTGACAGCACCACCAGCTAGTCTGCGCGGAGCAGGGCTTTGAACCAGTGACACCTAGCAGTGAAAGCAAACTCCCCCCAGGCCAAGTATAGAACCCAGGAGTCCTGGACTCACGCTTCCCTGCCTAGCTGTATCACACTCCTCTTTCAGAGCTGACTGTCCTGACTCCCAGTAGGGGGGAGCGGCTTAGTGGGGGGCCACCCCCAGTCCTGAACAGGGACTGGGGGCTCGTGCGGAGACGTGGCCCTTTGCTTGGGCACCTAGCAGTGCAGAGAATTAGCAGGAGGCTGCCCGCAGCTTCCCCCTGCCCTCCGCCAGCTTGGTGCGCCCAGGCCGGGCGCGTCTGGAAATGCGTCAGGATTCTGACTGATGGGAAATTTGCTACTGATGGACCACACGCAAATGTGCGCCGAGGAGCAGGCTTGGCGGATCTCAATCACTTTAATATGACAGCTGTCAAATGGGAGCTCCACGCCTCCGTGTCCTGCAGCAATACGTGTCCTGTCTTCCCTGCCCCGGGGTGTCCGGGGAACGGGTGGGAGGTAAAGACACCGGGGACCTGGCTGATCCACGAAGGAGCCCCCTCAATGGCATCGGTGGTAGAGGAAGGTGCCCCGCACTGCTCAGGATTTCCATTTTTCTGCCTGGTCTCATGCTCCCTCCCGCAGTAGCCTTTGGGGCTGTGGCTTGTCCCCCTCCTTCTTCCAGCTCCCTGGGGATCCAATGCTCGGGGGTCCTTGGCAGGGCTGAGCTCTTGGGGGCTTTGGCGGGTCCTTGCAGGAAAGATCTTTAGCCTGGTGTCTCCCAGTCCGGGTGTCTGGCCCAGGGTGACTCGGATATCAACAGAGTCAGACACCTCAGAGGCCGCGGGGCCTGAATCCCAGACTGCCTGGTGCAAGTCCCCAGGGCCCCGATCCTCAAAGGTCTTGAGGCGTCTAACTTCCCACCACTGCCCCGCATCTGCCACTGATCCTGCCGGCCACCCCCCGGATGCGGTCCCAAGGGCTTTAAGCCGTTGGGGCCCAGACGCCGTCCCTTTGTTAGGGCCTCTGGATGGCAGTTTGGTTCTAAACACCAATGAGGATCTGGGCCTCTCTGGGCCACCACTCCCTTGTGCACAACAGCCCTTCCCTGCCCCACAGAGCGGCATGAGGATCCGTGCACTAAAGGCTGGACAAGGCGCCAATATGCCAGGGGTGGGGGCCTGGCAAAGATAGAACTGAGGCCTAGTTTGCCCCAGGGCTTTCGATCCTCTCCTGGGTGCGATGCCGACCCTTCTAGGGACTGCCAACCCCTGGGGAAGCCAGGGAGCCGTATGGGACCCTCCCCAACCCCAGGCAGGCGGTGAGCAGAGCCCCGACTTCCTTTGGACCCCCCGATGGTGACGGGGCTTGGCCTGTCAACAGCCTGGTCCAGGACCTCAGCTGAGCAGGCCGCGTTGCCTTGGCTTATTGATGGAAAGTCACAAAGGCCGAAGGTCTCCCCCCGCCCTGGAGGCCTGACCCCTCAGTCTGGCTCCCCATGTCCAGGAGGGGGGCGGTTTCCATACAGAGCGTGACTTGAGATTTCCTCCCTTCCATGAATGGGGGGCGGTGAACCGGGGACCCCAGCCCTGCCCGGGAGCAACACCCTGCAGGGGGGACTAGTAGGGAAGCAGGAGCTGGCTGAGGAGGTGCCCGGGATGCCGAGGGCACGGCCGGGGAAGGTCTCCCGTCCCTCGGAGAACAACAAGGGCAAATAATAACGCCCCTCCGTGCCTCCGTGTGGGAAAAACAAGCCTGATGGACCCACGGCGCCAGGCTGGGAGGAGCGAGGCTGCCTGGCATCTCCATAGCAACCCTCGCGGGCATCTCCCACCAAGCCACCAGCTCCACCAGGAGCGGATTTGCTCCCTCCACATCTTCCCACCCCATTGTGCCACGCTCGAAAGAGAGGGCGACATCTCCTGATTGTCCTCCCCCCGTCCACTAGCTTCCCCTCATCCCCCCCGCCGCACAAACACAGAATCCAAGTGTATTTTGCCTGGGGAGGGAGGAGGCCAGATACTTTGTTTCTTGCCTCCTCCCTTCTGAATGTTGGGAGCAGATGCTGCAGAGCGGGGGCTTTGTCTCCGGAGATTCCCTTTATTCTGTTTTTTCCGCCCCCTTTCGCCACCTGCTTTTCTTCCCCGGCCCTTTATGTGCCGGTGGATTGCCGCGTGCGCCTGTGTCTGATTGGGATTGGAGTGTGTAGCCATGGAGCTGGGAGTGCAGCCTTTGGGTGTGTGTGTGTGTGTGTGTGTGTGTGTCAGGCATGGACACGGTTCTCTGTAGCTTTTAGCTGTTATAACACACTTTAAGTCAACACTGCCCTGCCCCGTGTGTTAGCACCTGTGCAAAATAGGCATGAAACACCATGTGTTACACCCATTTGGGGTAAGTGGCCGGGCCTGGTGCAGGGCGATGGGGAATCAAGGCACGTGGCATGCAATCGCATGCGTGTTTTTAGCGTGTGTGCGTCTTTTGCCTACATCTTACAGCTGCTCCGGGTGTGTGTGCGTCTGTGTTTTGTGTGTCTGGCGGGGATTGGATTCTCAGGGTGCGTCTGTTAGCCCGGGTGTGTCTTGGTGAACGTGGGGGGGTTAGTGCGTAGCATTGCTAGCAGGTGTGTGTACGTAACCCTGGGGTGACTGTGTGTCACGGGTGGGTCCCCGCTGGGCTGACCTACAGGCGATGGGAGTTGTTACCCCCCCAGCTACACAGCTTGCTCTTAGCGCTAGCTCAGGCCCAGGTGTTTCAGCCAAGATGGTGACCATCACAGGGTGCTCCTCTTGGTGCATCTGTGGCCGCTGTCCCGCTGCAGGGTGTGATCCCCAGGGAGCAGCCCCCACAACGTAGGGTCCCTGAGGGAGGGAGAGAGATGGTGGGTTTTTAATCCCTCCCCCCCCCAGACACTGGCATCTTGGCTCTGTACTGTGCCCCCCTTTGCCCTCTTGTGCCATCATTTCGAGTGTGCAAAGGGGGTGTAAAGCAGTGCCCAGCCCAAATGCCCCCCCTTGCACATTGGGAGCAACGGGACACCTGCTTTGCACAGGTGTGAATGATGACCCCACAGGCGAGACAGACCCTGGAGTCAGTGCTAGTCTCTAGACCCCAAGTTCTAGGCTCCATGCACCAGGCTTCTGGGTCGCTCTCCCCCTGCAGACCTCAGCTTATTGTGGGGGAGGGGAGGGAGGCCGAGACCCTGGCAGGAGGGGTTGTGAAATACCAAGTGGGGAGGAATCCAGGACAATGATAGGGATCAAGGTGGCATCTGCATACTGTGCTTAGAGCCCCCCCCCCCCACACACAACACACACACCCCGCTCTAACCACTAGACACCTCTCCCTTCCCATGGCTGGGAAGAGAACCCAGGAGTCCTGACTCCCAGCTCCCCACTCTAACCATTAGATGCCATTCACCTGCCAGAAATAGGAGTAGAACCCAGGAGTCCTGGCTCCCGTTCCCTCCATCTGTAATTCCTCGACCGCACTCCACTCCCAGAGCTGGGGACAGAACCCGGGAGTCCAGCCTCCCAGCCCCCTGCTTTACCCACTAGACCCTACACCCCTCCCAGAGCTAGAGATAGAACCCTGGCGTCCTGGCTCCCAATCCCCCACCCCCAGCATTCCCCAACTTCACCACTAGACTCCACTCCACTCCCCTCCCAGAGCTGGAGACGGAACCCAGGAGTCCTGCCTCCCAGACCCTCCCCCCTGCCCTCTAACCCACAGGATCCCAGTGGTGCATCTGCCACACTTTTCCCTAGTAAAGGCTGTGGGATGTGTGTGTGTGTGTCCGTTTGCAGGGGTCTGGTCTGCTGTTTCCCCCCCGCCCCTCTTCCATCCCCCACCCTTTCTCCATCCTGTCCCTTTCCCCATTGCACCAGCTTTGTTGTTCCTGTCTCGCTCTCTGTCTCTTGGGTTGATTTAAAGGCGCTCCCCCCCTCCTTGGCCCGGCAGCTGTTGCCCGGGCAGGTCAGGGTGCCTGGCGCCGCCCCCTCTCCCAGGGCAGGTGGTCCCGGGTCTGGGTGTCATAGGTGAGAGGCTGTGTGCTGGCTGGGGGAGGAAGGGCTTGAATTTTCAGTCCTTGCAGGGGGGTCTCTATAACCACTATGTGTGCAAGCAAGCTGTGCCCATGTAAGGATGCACATGCATGCAGGGGTACATGTATGACCATTTGCACCTGTATGCGTGTGGGGATGTGTATGCAGGTGCCTGGTCACGTGTGCAGCACACGTGTGCAAAGGGATGCTGCATGCCTTTGCGCCTGCGTACGAGCGGAGGCGCGTGCTGACACCTGCAGGGCGTGTGTGTGTCTGTGAGGGAGGGCACGTGCACGCATGTGCGTTTGTGGGAGGGCAGGAGAGGTGTGTGCATGTGCCGGGGGAGGCGTGTGTGTTTGTGCATACGTGCAGGGGATCCGTGTGCGTTTGCACATGCGGGCAAGCGGATGGAACCCTCCAGGGCCGAGCTCTGGGGACCAGGAGCGTCCTGCTGAGTCTTTCCACTCGAGTTTGCTGGGTCTCAGCCCACATCATAGCTGGAGGGTCCACATCTCCCGAGCCCACCTGGGCACTGACTGGCCCCCTGGTTGGCATCCCTGCCTGAGAGACTGCCATATCCTGGTGCCACCTGCTAGGCAGTGCCCTGGCTCAGCTGAGCCGTGGGTGGCAGATGTGCCCATCACCGCAGCCTATGGGAGCGGTGGGTGAAGGGACCCGGCACGGGCAGGTTGCCTTTTGTTTGGGGAGGCTGCGGGTGCCCAGCTGGGTTATAAATAGCCCCTTCTGTTCCTGGCGGGGCGTGGACACCAGGAGCCC